CAGACTTGGACAATGTGTTTTCCACCCCCTCGTCCAAGTCGCTGATGAAGATATTGAAGTGTAGGCCCCAGGACCGAGCCCTGGGGTACCCCACTGCTCACATCCCGCCAGGTCAAGTACAACCCATCCACCACCACTCTCTGGGTGCGCCCCATCAGCCAATTTTTGATCCATCCAACTGTGTAGGCATCAATGCCACAGTCACACAGTTTATTAATGAGAATGGGGTGAGAGACTGTGTCAAAGGCTTTTTAAAGTCCGGAAAGACTACGTCCACGGTGACACCATCATCCAGGGATTTAGTTATCTGGTCATAAAAGGCCATCAGGTTGGTCTGGCAGGACCTGCCTTTGATGAACCCATGTTGATTTCCCCTGGGCATGATCTCCCCTGCTGGCCTCTCACAGATGTGCTCCTTGATAATTTTTTTCATTTATTAAGGAATGAATTGTATTTTCATTTATTAAGGAAGCTATACTGTCCTTTTTGGATTAGCAACAGAATGGCTAGATAGCTACTTAGGATGCTGTAATGGAGTGCCTATTATTTAGTAAAATTTACTTTTTCAGACAGGAGTTGTATTTCGTATTAAATAATTAAATGTGGATGAAATCAGAATATACAGTCATGAACATTTGCGAGGGGAAAGATTTTTTTTTCTTTACCATTAAATTATGCTGACATTTATTTGATTTTTTTGTTGTTGTCCTACCATAGAGCATCACATATGAGGTGACATCATATCTCACATATTAAGCAATCATTTTTACTTCAGTCTATTCTTCAAATATGCATTTTATAAGATACAAAGTGTAATATTTGGCCAAAAATAATAAATGTGCTTATAGTCTCTCTGATATGCAACGCAATCGATGCACGCACTATTGCTTACCTTTCTGCTTCTTTTTCATGAAGAATGAAACATTTAGGATGACTGAAACAACCAGAGCCAGAGTCAAAAAGGCTACAAGTCCCCAGATTAAGAAGTGACACTCAACAACTTTGTCCATTTCTGCAACAAAAAGCAAAACCCTCCTTAATCAGGTGTTGACTAAGTGCTGTATATATTTTTAGTCTTTCTATAGTTAAGGCTGTCACATTACATTTTTATTCCAGTCACAGCCGCTGCCATACAACCCAATTAAATAGTGGAAGTGCTTAGATGTCAAATTCTAAGAAAATAGAATTGATAAAACTACTAATAGAGATGACATTTCACAGTGTGTTGGCTTGACCAAGTCTGGTGTCACCAACTGGACACCCAGAAGTGTAGAAAATTAGGAAAGTTGCTGTCATGTGAAGACGTGATGCTATTTTCTCCAAAATATCTGCTATTTGTTAACTAAATGGGTTTGTGAACTGAATTCTGAATATTACTCTTTATTTAAGCAAAACTCCTGACTGCAGAAGCCGCTGGCTTCAATGGAGTTTGCCTGATCAAGGCTGAATTTTGGATTTTGCTTTGTGCTGAGTTTTATCCCCAGGGATTGCAAGTGTTTCTTGTGAGTGTTTTTATGCCTTAATATTTTGTGTTCCTCCCCTCATTCCTGTAAAAATGTGTCATTCTGCTGCATTCTCCATCCCTGTTGGAAGCTGTTACGATCCCCTGCACTGTCTAGCCTTCTGCCTGGAAGTGTCTTTCTGCTCCTTTGATTGGGATGGTGAAAAAGAGGGACCCAGGAGCTGCAGAAAGTGGAGCAGGTAGGAGTCTATGGATATTAGAAAGACGGCAGCCAGAGTCTAGCCATAGCTTAAATGAACTGGCAGTGGGGGAGCAAAGGTAATGAAATATAAGCAGGTTCAGCCCATCCATCTCAAGCCCTACTCTCCTTGGAGCCTGCTGAGAAACTCAGATGAGATTCTCTCTCTCTCTCCCCCCGCTTTTCCCCCACCGAACCCATGCTTCATTTTTAACAATGGTACATTGTGTAAGGTGGACTCATCTCATCTAAATTCTCCACTGCCATGGGTAGATAAAAAGACCACAGCCTGTTTGACCCTCTGCCACCAAACAGAGCAGTCCCACATATATGATTACTCCCACCAGCGAAGTAGCTCCAAAATTCTTCCCTGACGGAGAAAGGTTTAACTGTGTGCTTGCTGCGTTCTTGCCCTAGGTACTTGTCCATCCTGTTTTCATACTGTTGGAGTGCCTGAGATGCTTAACTTAAACTTCTTTCCTTCTTAAAGAGACTTAAACTACAGGAGCTCCAGAACAGCTACAAGAAAGAAAGGAGCCGTGATGGGGACTGAGGAGGTGGGTAACAATGGGATCAAATTCTGCGTGACAACCCAGACTGGACCAGTAACATTACTCTCACTTGGTTTCTGTGAAGTTTTCTTCATGTATTCTTTGTTTTGGGTTTTTTGCTGTTGTTTTTTTTTTTTTTTACCCGTTCGTGTGGCAAAGGACATTTATGTTGCAGGAGGGGCCAATGATTTTATTCCCGCTGAGAAGATAGACTGCTGCTGCTCGGCTCATTAGCTCCTGCTCTCTGTGAGCACTGCTCATCCTGGCTGTAGCACTTTGTTTTGTTCTCTAATTACACCATATTGCCAGAGCTGCCTTATTTATTTATTTTACTCTGATCAGCGTTGCTTCTGCGATAATGACATCCTGACTCAAGGAGCTGCTCAATGATCCATGGCAGTAGTCTTAGAAAAATGCCCCTTTTGCAAAGTGCAACCTATTGGTCACTGAAGTCAATGGAAAAACTGCAGCTGGGCCCAATCGGGCGTTTAGAACCCAAATTTCCTCCCCCTCAAGCTAGTGCCAAATCTTCCACCGGTATCAAAGACAACACTGTCAGGATCTCAATTATTGTTTGATGTGGGTGCATCTACACATGTATTAATGCACCTTTGCTACAACGCATTAAATTTAGTACCTCTAATATGAGTTACTACATAAATGCACAGTAGCCGGCACTAACACTCAGTAGCAAAAGGCGCTTAATGTGCAGTAGACTAATTCTATTGTGCGTTAGCACATTTTTTGCTCTGATGTGCTAATGCACAGTAGAATAAGTTTACTGTGCATTAAGCATCTCATGTAGGTGTGCCTTCTGTTGATTTAAATTGACCACTGAGTTGTCAGACCTAGAAACAAACCAAAAGAGCCAGGAAACCAGAGACAATGTGGGAGTTTAGTAAAATCATGAACTTCACAATTCTCTTTGAAAGTTTCCTTCCCCTACAAAACCGTCTTCTACAAAAAGTTTAGGAGTACCCTTCTTTCTAACAGCCATTCTTTTTTCTTTACAGAGTCCCTGCCACCATCACTTTCTGTAATGTCTGAAACTGTTTTTTGTTCCTTTCATTTTCACCCTTTACAGCCTCCCAGTTCTTTCTAAATAACTACAAGACTCTTCACACTACATTCTCTAAGCACCTTCTGTGTTTTGAGGGCCCATAAAGCCAGTCATGAGCATCCCCCAGCTTAGGTATAAGGTCTCTGTGTAAAGATGCACAGATGACATTCCCCTTAGAAACAGATGGCCAGAAGACACAAAGTTGAGGTTTGCATCCCCTCCTCCCTCAAAATCTCCCGCTAAATAAATTGCTCTAAACCACACAGAAGTCAGTGTCAGAGCCGGGAATGGAATTGAGGTCTTCTGCATCCCACTCCAGGTGCCAAGCCCCAAGACCATCCTTCCTCCTGTTGTCTTCCTACTTCGACTGTAGGTATTTACTGTCTTTAGTTTTCTCCACATTTCTCCCCATGTGTATTTTGTTGGGCCCATGGGAAGGAAGGGCACATCATACCCTGAAGGAGGAAAACCTAAGTATCCAAACAGAAACTAGTAGATCTGTTTTCGTTTGGGATAGAGAGGTTTGAAGAAGAGGATGTCTCCCAGACTGAGTTTTAATTTGAATATATATATATTATATATTCAAATTATATTATATAAAACTCAGCCTGGGAGACATCCTCTTCTTCAAACCTCTCTATCCCAAACGAAAACAGATCTATATATATATAGATATATATATAGATATATATAAAAATCATTGGAGCATGTATCTTTTCCTGCAGTAAAGAACTGTCAGCAAAAACAAAAAAAAATCCAATTAGTCTATTTCAGAAATTTGGGAATTCTTTTTCTCTTCTTTCTTAATAACATAGGAAGCAGATCTCAGAGGCATAAGACCTTAACTGAAGAGCCATAGACTTTGGATCCTTTAATATTAACCAATTCTCCCAACTTTTTGTTTCTTTTTTTAAGATGTTGGGAAGAGGGAATGAAAATACTTTATTAAGAATTTAAATCTATGTTGGGTCAGATCACAGGTCCATGCAGGGCTGAATTAACCCTTTAGTAGGCCCTAGGCAAACAAACTTGTGGGCCCTTACTTAATACTGTATCTTTGTATTACTTATTTTTACTCAATAATTATAATATGTAAAATAAGCACAACTAGACCCCTTCTTCACTTTGGACCCCAGGCATGTGTCTAGTTTGCCTATGCATTAATCGGGCCCTGGGTCCATGTTGCCTGGTGTTGTGTGTCTCACAATGACATTGTGAGACACACAATGATTGGTGGAGCCCCTGGTGGGACTCCACCAATCTGCCACCCCGACCCCTCAGCCCGGCAAGTCTTTTGACCTGAATTTGAACAGTTTCAAGTTGACTCAGACTGTTTTGTACTATAGAAACATTTGCAAAAATATACTCATTCAGACATTCCTTTTAATGTTGAGCAGCCAGGAAAAGGGCTTATGTAAATGAACATAGATAACATAATCTTAAGGGTCTGGGGGCACAGGTAGTGTTCTCGTCGATCCTCCCAGTCTCAGGCTATGGGCTGAGAAGGGACAGGAGGATCTATGTGGTCAACCAAAGACTGCAGCGCTGGTGTCGTCAGGAAGGCTTTGGCTTTCATGACCACAGCCCGCTCTTTGGCGAGAGAGGCAGCGAGCTGCTGGGAAGGGATGGCCTCCACCTCTCTCCCCTAGGGAGGAGGCTCTTCTCAGCCAGACTGGCTGACCTGCTCCACCGGGCTTTAAACTAAGCC